GCACAGAATAACCCAACTCTCCTTAACCTACAGGAGCACAGAATAACCCAACTCTCCTTAACCTACAGGAGCACAGAATAACCCAACTCTCCTTAACCTACAGGAGCACAGAATAACCCAACTCTCCTTAACCTACAGGAGCACAGAATAACCCAACTCTCCTTAACCTACAGGAGCACAGAATAACCCAACTCTCCTTAACCTACAGGAGCACAGAATAACCCAACTCTCCTTAACCTGCAGGAGCACAGAATAACCCAACTCTCCTAAACCTACAGGAGCACAGAATAACCCAACTCTCCTAAACCTACAGGGGCACAGAATAACCCAACTCTCCTTAACCTACAGGGGCACAGAATAACCCAACTCTCCTTAACCTACAGGAGCACAGAATAACCAAACTCTCCTTAACCTACAGGAGCACAGAATAACCCAACTCTCCTTAACCTACAGGAGTGAATCAGCTTAAACATATACATGTAGCTTTCTTTATGTGTAACCAGATGGCCCTCGAGGAAACAGAACACCACAGGAACAGAACCTAGATATTTCAGAAATATATAACAATCAAGAGGTCTTACAGGCCTGCATCACTCACCTGGTATTAATCTCACAATTGTAACCTTAAAAGTGGACTAATATAAAGATACAAGCTTAATATCAGTATTTATGACTCAGTCATTCAAAGAACCTGTTAATAGAATTTGACCCCTGTGACCTTGAAAGAAAAATCAAGGACAGTAACTCTAACAAACTTTATAGACCTTCATCCCAGCATCAACATGTAACATTTAAAACGCTGCAATAACTCAATCATACAGCTGCTTTCCGAAAAACAACCACAGGTATATCAGCTTCTGCAGCCGATCAAAACAGCTATCTGAAGCCGATCATAACAGCTACCTGTAGCCGATCATAATAGCTACCTGTAGCCGATCAAAACAGCTACCTGTATGTAGCCAATCATAACAGCTACCTGTATGTAGCCAATCATAACAGCTACCTGTATGTAGCAAATCATAACAGCTACCTGTAGCCGACCATAACAGCTACCTGTAGCCAATCATAACAGCTACCTGTATGTAGCCAATCATAACAGCTACCTGTATGTAGCCAATCATAACAGCTACCTGTAGCTGACCATAACAGCTACCTGTATGTAGCCAATCATGACAGCTACCTGGAGCCGACCATAACAGCTGCCTGTAGCCAATCATAACAGCTACCTGTATGTAGCAAATCATAACAGCTACCTGTAGCCGACCATAACAGCTACCTGTAGCCAATCATAACAGCTACCTGTATGTAGCCAATGATAACAGCTACCTGTATGTAGCCAATCATGACAGCTACCTGGAGCCGACCATAACAGCTACCTGCAGCCAATCATAACAGCTACCTGTAGCCGACTATAACAGCCGCTACCTGTAGCCAACCATAACAGCTACCTGCAGCCAATCGTAACAGCTACCTGTAGCCAATCATAACAGCTACCTGTAGCCGACTATAACAGCCGCTACCTGTAGCCAACCATAACAGCTACCTGCAGCCAATCATCACAGCTACCTGTAGCGCACCATAACAGCTACCGGCAGCCAATCGTAACAGCTCCCTTTAGCCATTCATAACAGCTACCTGAAGCCAATCATAACAGGTACCTGTAGCCGACCGTAACAGCTACCTGTAACCGACCATAACAGCTACCTGCAGCCAATCGTAACAGCTACCTGTAGCCGACCATAACAGCTACCTGAAGCCGACCGTAACAGCTACCTGCAGTATCTATCAGACTTCATTGACCTTTGATGACTTTAGTGTCCGACTATATCATTTTTTTAAAAGTGACTTTCAAATGAATTTCAAAGAATTTTGTGCTGACCTAACTTTTCTGTGACCTCTGACCCCAGATACCATTTGACACTATCAACGCCATGCTGACTATAAAACGTGAGCCTCTAGACGTCCTTGCCAGTAATTTCTGGCTGTAGTACAACACATTCATTTTTTATTCAATCTCAGCCTATGTCTACATTGTTACACCAGAATTCTATGTACCGCGGTACATCGGGCTTCCTCAACGCCACCAGATGGAGGCACAGACACACCAAAACATGCAAAATGATTATTATAGGAATGCACAGTGCCAGGCATCGGAGGCCGTCACAAACCTGGGAAGGAAACCCGCGCCATACACACACATCAAACATTAATGATATATTAAACCATTTTTTTGGACAATAAACATTTACTTTGATTAGTTTTATTTCCAACTGCCGCATTGGAATGGGAAAAATTAAAATATGTATCATGGCAAGCGTTTGAAATGAGGGCACATGGTCTTAGCGGTGCATGCCACAGATTTGTGAGCTCAACCCCATCAGGGGGGCAGGGTGAGCTCAACCCCATCAGGGGGGCAGGCAGCAACGTCTGTGGGTAACTGTTATCACACCAGCACTTATCATACAGCTTCCTTTTGTTTCAAATTTCTATTAATAATCCAACAATACTAAATGAAACATCTGCAGCCAAAATGGACAGGCTTTTTAGAGTACTATCAGCTACATTCAGGCAGAGAAAATTCAGTTCAATGTTTGGTGTGACACATATAAAACCTAACTGTGCTATTTATGACCCTGTCAAAGAAAATATTTCAGGGACATCAAACTGTTTATGAAGTTCTGGCTGAAACAAAACCTTTGTATAAGGAACACTGGGGTTTATTATAAAGACGCTTTTACTGTAGAGAATTGATTTCTTTAATCTGTTGGAGTTTATAATATTGCTGATGGTACTGAACTTAAAAGATAGGTTGTAATGTGTTATTCACATCAAGCAGGTTTCACGGGTTCTGTTCACTTTGGACAGGTTTTATCATACCAAGGTGTTGGTGTAGTTAGTCAGGTTTTATTTTAACAATGTTTGGTTCACTTAAGGCGGGTTCTATTTTAACAAGGTTCTGTTCACTTTGGACAGGTTTTATTTTAACAAGGTTCTGTTCACTTTGGACAGGTTTTATTTTAACAAGGTTTTGTTCACTTTGAACAGGTTTTATTGTATTAGGGTTTTCCTAGACCAGCTTTACTGGATAGTGTTCACTTTACACAGGTCTTAATATATGAAGGTTTATTTCACTTAAGACATGTTTTACTAGATGTTTTCACTTTAGAAAGTTCGACTGTACACATAAGTTGTAACCTTTGACCTTGACCCTGTGATTGAGTTAGACCTTTAAACTTGAACCGATGTTTAAATTTGTACCTGAAGTACATAAAACGTCCTTGCAGGGTCAACCAGTGCACAGAGGTGAGTGGGTGTGGTCGGACGTCTCAAGCCTAATGTATTATTGATCAAACTCACAAACCTGAAAACCTTTGTCTGGTGACTGCGATCATTTTGTCTTATTAGTCTATATTGGATTTTAGAGATGGTTCGAGTGAGTTGATGCCCAATTGTCCACATCTACAATAAAAAGTGCCGCCTCCGGACTTGTGAGCCAGGTCTCGGAGCTTGTCAGTAACACGATTCTTTAGATATTTTATTATTTCATCAAGGATCCCCGGGAAGCTGCATCACCGAGGAGTATCACCTTTACATGTACCGCTACTAAATTCAATGCTTCCCTAATAATAAAAGCAATCTTTGTATTTCTTGTCTGGAAACATTTTTACATTCCAAATTGGTGAAGAGTAATTGACCTGGGAGGATGACTCATGACAATAGAATTGGTCCCTATTGTTAGCCAATGGATTGTGGCAGTCGTCTGATCCAGCCTGTGTACCAACAACTACCTGTAATATATAGAGAGAGTAAAAACATAGAGGTACAATATAGGTGTTAAACAGTACACAGGGGTCAAACTGACCCTGTACCACATAGAGGTCAAACAGACCCTGTACCACATAGAGGTCAAACAGACCCTGTACCACATAGAGGTCAAACTGACCCTGCACCACTACCTGTAATATAGAGGTCAAACTGACCCTGCACCACTACCTGTAATACATAGAGGTCAAACTGACTCTGTACCACTACCTGTAATATAGAGGTCAAAATGACCCTGTACCACATAGAGGTCAAAATGACCCTGTACCACTACCTGTAATATATAGGTCAAAATGACCCTGCACCACTACCTGAAATATACAGGTCAAACTGACCCTGTACCACTACCTGTAATATAGAGGTCAAACTGACCCTGCACCACTACCTGTAATATAGAGGTCAAACTGACCCTGCACCACTACCTGTAATATAGAGGTCAAAATGACCCTGCACCACTGTAATATAGAGGTCAAAATGACCCTGCACCACTACCTGTAATATAGAGGTCAAAATGACCCTGCACCACTACCTGTAATATAGAGGTCAAAATGACCCTGTACCACTACCTGTAATACACAGGGGTCAAACTGACCTTTTAATTGATAATTATAGGTTTAGAGTTAAGTTTATTATACCTGTAAAATTAAGCAGGAAGTTAATTACACCAATTAGATTAAGACAATATTTTTACACCTACAAAATGAACAGAATGCTGACCTTTTCAAGCAGAAATGCCAGATCTGACCTTGAGGCAAACTTGATGGTTCATAGATATTTTCTCATATAACATTTAACAGAACAACATAAGTCTTGTTCGTCTATACTGGGAGAAGGTTTGACTGTGGACACCACTGAGTAGGCACCAGACGATCAATTACAGGTGTTCCCCCTTCCATCATGTTTCTTATCCCTAAACTACAAGAGTTACACCTATACACTAGGTTCAAGTCGAGTTCTGATCTATGATGTTAAACACTATCCAACAAAATGTCAGACATGCTGATTTTATGGCTAAATGTTCACTATTATGTCACATGACCTTGACTTCAAACGTCCCATCTAAAAAAATATCTGGTGTACAGTTTTTGCAGGTAACGTCTTGATTAGATCTACGAGATGATGAAGAAATATATCCCATAATAGTCCTACTGAGATGTCACTTTTATCCTTTGGAATTTATTAAAAACCTCAACATTTAACCTATTATTACCTCAGCAGTTACGCTAAAACCTGATTGGTTATAAACTTTATCTTAGGGGTTAACCTTTCACCTCAGAGATTAACCTATAACTTGAAGAGTTAAACTTCACAGGTTAACCTATGAACGGGTTGTCAACATATAATTTGAGATGTTAACCTATTGCCTGATAGGCTAACCTATAACCCGATTTGTTATCTAATTTCCCCAAAGAATTAACTTACAACCTGAGTTGTTAACTGATAACCTCCGGGGACAACTTATACCTTAGGGGTTTATCTATATCCCAGGAAGACCTTAAAATTCCAGAGAATCTTACGTAATTATCCATGCAGCACTAGAGAAGTTAAACACTGATATTAAGGTAAAATAATAAATCTATCAGTAACTGTTGTTTACTTGGCAGTGATGAGTCCGTTACTGATGCTGTATGGTATAAGACATGTGGGGTGCATTCATATTTTCTGTGGAGGAATAAATCACCATCACTTCAGATTCTATCTGGGCATGTCTGGCATTGTTAGCTTGATAAGCAATAAACAAGCAATGGTGTTATGTATAATTTCTAACATTAAGCTGATCAGACTTAGGGCCAGACCTTCATCAATGGATATACAGCATGTACATGTATTTTGTGTAAGTTGCTCTACAATTAAAGTAATATGTTTGGGATGTATAGAGTCTGTCTGCATAGGCCTCCAGAGAGAACATGTTTAGCCAGACACCAGAAGTTTTATTGGGGTGCTGATCAAATAGGGTTTAACATTAAAACAAACCATTATATCCAGTTCATCTAAACTAAAACTCAGATTCAAACTTTTATGTCATCGCTGAAATACGTTCCTCTTATAAGTCAGAGATCTTAACACTTCAAGTGTCGATCTTGTGAAGTTGGATTTTTTCAATCCAAGAAAACTGCAGTAACTTTGAGTGTTGTTAGCCTTCTCCATAGATCACTAAATGTATGTACTTAACTCTACTACGGGGCAGAGATTTAACACCGAAAGCCTCATCAGCAACAAACAAACTGAGCTATATATACTCAAATCTGTAAATCTTAAGAACTGCATTCTGTATGTCAAGTTTCCTTCATATAACACCGTCTAGGTCCCAGAGTTCAGCTTATGATTAGCTAGAAGCACTAAACAAATCAGACACGTCCCAAAACTAAGATACACTTGTGACATCAGAGAAACTTCAGGTAAACTAGAGATATCAAAGACTCGACCCGTCTCTAAACTCAGGTAAACTAGAGATGTCAAAGACTCCTGTCTCTAAACTCGGGTAAACTAGAGATATCAAAGATTCCTGTCTCTAAACTCGGGTAAACTAGAGATATCAAAGATTCCTGTCTCTAAACTCGGGTAAACTAGAGATATCAAAGATTCCTGTCTCTAAACTCGGGTAAACTAGAGATATCAAAGATTCCTGTCTCTAAACTCGGGTAAACTAGAGATATCAAAGATTCCTGTCTCTAAACTCGGGTAAACTAGAGATATCAAAGATTCCTGTCTCTAAACTCAGGTAAACTAGAGATGTCAAAGACTCCGGTCTCTAAACTCAGGTAAACTAGAGATGTCAAAGACTCTTGTCTCTAAACTCGGGTAAACTAGAGATATCAAAGATTCCTGTCTCTAAACTCAGGTAAACTAGAGATGTCAAAGACTCTGGTCTCTAAACTCAGGTAAACTAGAGATGTCAAAGACTCCTGTCTCTAAACTCAGGTAAACTAGAGATATCAAAGACTCCTGTCTCTAAACTCAGGTAAACTAGAGATATCAAAGACTCCTGTCTCTAAACTCAGGTAAACTATAGATATCAAAGACTCCTGTCTCTAAACTCAGGTAAACTAGAGATTTCAAAGACCCTTGACCCAAACCACAGGTAAACTCAAGATTCCAAAAACTCCCGTCAAAAAATTGGTAAACTCAGACTATCAAAGAGTTATGTCCCAAACCTTGGTCAACTAGGAATATCATCAAAAAGAATAGGTTCAATGTCCTTGAGGTTAAAATTGAGGTTGAACTATATCCCATTAGACATCTAATATGTATGTCCCTAGAGTCGACCTGTTTATGTGAAGAAAAGAACATTCACCTACAACAAGTACCTTTAGAAGCCCCATCAAACACCCATTTCTGTAGTTCTCTCACACAAAATGGAATATCAATAAAGAATATTTACTGGCCACATATTGTTGTGTGTATTCTAACTATGTCTAGTGACTTGGTCACATCCAACTGTTAATTACCAAAAGATCTCCACTGTCAACATAACGGCAATTGTCAACATGATGAGAGGTGATGACCGAGGACCAAGTCCCCTATAGTGCACTGTACATAGAGAGTGACACCAAAATCACAGTATCACATCAATGTCTGCAGGAGCAAATCGTAACCGAGTCCCTCACAACTGGGGAAATTACAAATAATTGATCTGTCACCCAAAACCCCTAGTTTCAACAATTTTTATTTTTAATGAGAAAAACAGCTTCCAAATGCATTTAAGCCAGAATAATTGCAAAGTTTCTCTCTCCTCATCTGCGACAAGTCTAGTCGACTTTTTGTTCGGGGTCCCCCACAGGCTTGTCCCAGACAAAGCTGTGGGAAGGGTAACACAGTGGCTTTGTGTCACTTCCTTTGGTTGAGGACAGATGACCACAGCAAAGGTCATTCAGGTATACAATTACTGGTGAATATTTAGAAGCTTTAGAAATCAAGAAGCTAAATCCGTTAAGAAGTTGAGGTCAAGCATGGGGAACATTCCCCTAATGAACCCCACTTAAGATGTCCTCTGTCTGGCTAGGAATTCTATTCATTAGGCTTTGACAGGTACATTACTCATCACAGATCAATACTACAAACTCCAGGACACTGTTTTCTACCAGCCCACTCCTCTGTTAACAGTTAGTCTCCCTACCATCCTCCCTGTCCCTATCAGAGCCTGCATCCCTTGCAAATCTGTCCTTGTCTCTCTCCAAATGACTTCCCCTTTGAGCCTGTCTATCCCCCCCCCCCCCCCCCCCCCCCNCCTATCCCCCCAACTACCACTTACTACAACTCCCTCTCCTTATCAGAGCCCCCTCAAACCCCCAAAGCCCCACTTCCCACACACCTAATGGCAGGGCCAACCTATTCCTTTTTATAAAAGCCTGTACTCACCCCCAGCGGAATCGGTCCTTTTCTGTCTCAAAATAATATCCCCTCTCTAACAAAACCAAACTATCTCCTAACAGCTTTAATGCAAGTGACCCCTTACTTTCAATTGCCCATGTTTGCCTCCAAGTGATACCCCTCAAACCTTGACAGTCCTATCTGCCTCCAAGTGATACCCCTCCAACCTCGTCAGTCCTTCTCTCCCTCCAAGTGATACCCCCTCCGACCTTGTCATTCCTTCTCTCCCTCCAAGTGATACCCCCTCCAACCGTGGCAGTCCTTCTCTCCCTCCAAGTGATCCCCCCTCCAACCATGGCAGTCCTTCTCTCCCTCCAAGTGATACCCCTTCCAACCATGCCAGTCCTTCTCTGCCTCCAAGTGATACCACCTCCAACCATGGCAGTCCTTCTCTGCCTCCAAGTGATACCCCCTCCAACCATGGCAGTCCTTCTCTCCCTCCAAGTGATACCCCCTCCAACCTCGTCAGTCCTTCTCTCCCTCCAAGTGATCCCCCCTCCACCGCTTCAGACATTAGCAGTCCCTTTCTGCCTCTTGAGAACCTCTCTGTTTCTGTGTTAGCTGTCAATCACATCCCTAGAGTCGTAGAAATGAT